AGACAGTAACTGTCGGGGCTGTGTTGAACTCACTGCTGAAAGGGGCCACCTGCTAGACAGTAAAGGTCAAGAGAGGTTCCGGGGCAGGTGTCTGGAGAAGAAACTCCCAGGACTCTGGGGGTGCAAAGTCAATTAAAAAAACAAAACAAAACAAAAATAAAACCAAACCCAGGGAAACCCTCAGTCAGGTGTATCTTGGGCCAGTTATACACATTTTCATGCAAGGCTGTTTACAAAACACCGAACAACCATCTCTTTATTCCTGCTAGTAAATGCTTAAGGGTCAGCTTTATTATCCGCTCCCCGCCCCCAGTTATGATCTTCCATAAGACAGAAACTGAAGGGTAAAGGGACGCATCCCATGAAACAATTTGATGGGCATGCGTTTTCAACTTCTCCGCTCCTCAAAGTTTATTGCCTCGGAGGCAGAAATCCTGGTGTGTATAGATTTTTCTTTCCTTCCGGGCCTGGCCTATCATAGATCCTTGATAAATATACACTCAGATGATGATACCACACAAGGAAGATGTGGGCTTGGGCCTAAGACGACGCCCACTGAGGATCAAGGAAGTAAAGGCTTTCTGGGTCAAGAGGGATCTGGGTCAAGAGGGATGCATCGGCCTGGCCCCTACAGCACCTCTGGGAGGTCTCCTGGCAACGGCCTATGGTTAGGAAACCTGTCCATCCCTCGACTCAACAAGCCTATTACCCTCGTGGGGATTATCTGCAGGAGACCCACACTTAAGAGGACAGAGGTCAGTGGAATCAGCCAGAAGATTCCAAACATGAGCTCACGTGCCCAGGCTTACTCTTGTGGGAGAGCCCTCTCATCCGAAGTCAGGAACAGTTGTCCAAGGAGCTGCTGGTTCAGCCAGTCGTGCACAAGCACAATCAGTCCTAGATGTTTTGCTTCAGGATTTACATTCAACGCAGGGTCTGAAGTGGTCAGATAACAACGTTTACAGCGATGTTTACAAATGACATGAATCCTGGAGCAACCCGGCAGCGTTTGTTTAAAGACGTGATGCCGCCTGCCTGCATCCTTGGCTCAAGTCAACTGTTAGGATTAGCGTGGGCCTACAGACGGGTCATAAACAGAGACCTTGGCTGAGCGGGGAGATATTTCTCCGCCACGTCTTCTTTTCTAGAAGGACAGTGGCGACATTCTACATGTGACCCATCTCTGAAGAGCTTTGTATTCAAGGAACCCCACTGAAATAGGTTCCCATCCTCCAGGTGGAGAAGCCTAAGTCTGGAGCTCCCCCTGAAGCGAGTGTGTAGATCCACATCCGGTCACATGCCAATCTTCAACCAGAACTGTAGTTAAATCTCCTTATGAGATCGACCCTGAGCCTGCCTAGTTTCTATCCATTCCAATGCCACAAGCCAAAAAGTATCTTAAAAAACTCATTAATTTTAAATATATATCACATGATCTTAAATTTAACAAAACCCGACACTTAATTAATAGTTTTTATAATAGTAATGTTACCATAAATTTGTAATATCAAGACTTACACTCATATTTCATAATTTATCAATATCCCTTTCAATTAATTCACAATTCATCAATAATTCTAAATAATTAAAAATATAAAAAACTCAAAAAAAAAATTTAAATCTATCCCTATTTTCTTTCTCCTTCTTTCTCTATAATACTTATTATAATCTCTTCATAATATTATACTTCATTTCTTATAATCTCTTTACAAAATCTTCTCTTCCTCTATTAATTCTAATATTTCCACCTTTCATCTACTTACATAAAATACAAGTTACAATACAATCAACACTCCTTTCATTTCTTTTTTTCTATATACATCAAAATCATACACAACACCTACCATTTACTTCTAATTGTTAAACTAATTATTTACCAACACACCAACTCCTTAATCCATAAGATTTTCATTTATCCAATCTTCCGTCATCTGATGCACTTCCACTTCATACTATAGCGCGATACCTTTAACCTTGTAGTTGTGTAACATATGTTGCTCTTAGTACATATTATGATAAGACCGTACACTTTTGTGTCCTGCTGTGAATCATTCACAACTAGTTTACAGTGTAACTAAAACTCCCTTACTCTTCGATTTTTGTCCTTGATAGAAATCTCCCTAAATCACAGCTTAGGCCAACTATCCACAAGCAATAAAAGATCCTCACAAATGACTGACTAAGTACAAGGAAGGTGCTCATAAGAAGAGATCCCAAAAAGAGTTCACCCATAAGAAGTATAAAAGGTCCCAAGGCCGTAGGGTTGGTGACAGAAGGAAATAAGAGGCCGTAGATACCAGAGACCTAGCATACAATACTGTGACTCGCCTCATGAGGGGGCGCTATCTGTCTCCTGGAGACCCCGTAACACCCAATTGCTTCTTCCTGGCCCTTCCCTTGCCCCACTTCTGGTGTGGACCCATCTCTGCGCCATATGCCATCGTATCTCCAGGTTTAGGGATAATCTTGGCCCCACATCAGTTCTTTTTTTTTTTTTTTAATTTTTATTTATTTATGATAGTCACAGAGAGAGAGAGAGGGGCAGAGACACAGGCAGAGGGAGAAGCAGGCTCCATGCACCGGGAGCCCGATGTGGGATTCGATCCCGGGTCTCCAGGATCGCGCCCTGGGCCAAAGGCAGGCGCCAAACCGCTGCGCCACCCAGGGATCCCCCCACATCAGTTCTTGAGGAGGAGCTGCTATGTTCACGTTGCCTCCACAGACCACCTCCATTTCTCTCCTCTCTCCCCTCTCTTCTCCTTCCCGGCAGAGCTTCTGTGGTGAGCAGAACAATGCCTGCCCCCACAGACAGCCACCTCCGAATCCCCGGAGCCTGTGAATATGTCACCTCACGTGGCCAAAGGGACTTTGCAGATGTGACTAAATTAGGATCTTCAGATGAGGAAATGGTTGTAGGTTATCCAACTGGGTCCAGTGTAAAAACCAACTGGGTCCTTGGAAGAGGGGGGTAGGGAGGCCAGAGCCACAGAGGGAGATGTGATGATGGAAGCAGAGATGAGAGAGAGACAGAGACAAGCATCGAGAGAGAGAGACAGAGACAGAGACAGAGACAGAGACAGGCAGAGAGAGTGGAAGATGATACTAGCTTTGAAGATGGGGAGTGGGGCCATGAGCCAGGGAAGGCAGGCAGTCTCCAGAAGCTAGGCAAGGCAAGGCAAGGCAAGGAATTCTCTTCTAGAACAAGAGGGAATCAGCCCTCCCTACCTCCTGATGTCAGTCCAGTGCCCCCCCATGGTGGGCTTGTAGCCCTCAGAATTGTAAGATAACATGTATGTGTGGCTTGAAGCTCTTGAGTTGGCGATCATTTGCCACAGCAGCAACGGGAAACTCATGCAGCTCCCAAACACAAAGGTAGAGGGTACAAATGTCGGGAGTGGGGAATGTGAGGTAAGAAGGGAACCCTACCAGGGCCTTTCTCCTCCACCACTCCTCACCTCCCTTAGCCAGGGTGGCCCCAACCTTGGCCTTGGGTCTGCACCAGCAGCTGTCAGTATCTCCCTCACTGTGACCTGCCCGCAGTGCCTCTCCCCTGTGGGTCAAACGTCCAGTAAAGGTCACCAATAGACTCCCTTAGCCCTTCGTCCTCTGGCCACACTTCCTTCTGGGAATGAGAAGAGGGGCACCCTCATTTAGGTGCCAACAATGGAGGGTCAGAGGCAACCCACAAACCTGCGTCGGATGCCTTTTACTCAACATCCTTAGGGGAGAAAAGCGAGTTCACTGGCATAAGTAGCTTGGAAAACGAGTGCTAAGCGTTACACCCAGGCCACTGCCCTGGATGCAAACTTCTACACTAGAGAATCTGTGTGTCCTACAAAACAAAGACTCAGATTCACGGCCTAAGGTATGTGACCTTTAGAAAAAAAACACCTGCACCTACCTCTCGCCCTTGTCACGAGAGGAACTAAGGTAAATACTGGCTTCCACATTTCCTCTTACAAATAATTGTGGTATCATTGTTCACCCTCTCTTAAGCACCTTACATGTTCTAAGAGAGGACCTCACATGAAACGAGGTCCAGGGCTGCCCCGCGGTCATCCACACAGGAAAGCCCAGGAACATGACAGCATACGTGGACAATATAAGAGGCAGACAAGTAGAGGGGATGATGCTCTCCACCAGCAGAGGTGGTCACGCCATCACTCTGCTGCCAGTGTGTCCCTTCGCCAAACGTTTAGCAGAAAAACCACTGGCAGACAGCAGTTTTCTACATTTCTCCACTTAAAACTTAGTTGACTCCCATTTAAAACCTCACATCTCCTCAAAGAAGAGTTGGACTTTGTCAATTCCCATAGAGAGGAAGTTTTAATAACCGTGGATCAAATTGGGAAACTTTTTTTTTCTAACATGAAAAGATACACAATGGCCACTAGGAAAACTTTTGGGGGCCAGGAGCGTCAGAAAAAGTGGCTGGTCAGATCTTTCCAGGATCTCTGACATTTCAGAGTGCCTGCGTATGAAATAAGCCAGTCACGAAAGGACAAATATGCTATGATTTCCCTTCTATTAGGTTCCTAGAGTGGTCCAATTCATCGAGGCAGAAAGCAGCATGGTGGTTACCAGGGCCCAGCCAGGAGGTAATGGGAGTACTGGTATGGTTTCAATTCTGGAAGGTGAAAAAAGTTCTGGAAAAGGATGGCGGCGACCACTGCACTGTACTTAATGTGGCTCTTAAAAATGGTTAAGATGTCAGATTTTATGTTATGTATACTTTACCACAATAAAATAACCCCCCCTTCCCTACACCTCTACAGGCCACCACTCTATCATATGCCGGTTTCTCAGACCGGACTGTAGTTACAATCACCTCAAAGGGTTCCTTGGGGTGAATGTTTTCATCGGCTGCAAGGAAGAAGGCAGAGAAAAGGCGTCTCGTGGAGCACCCGGCCCCGAAGACAGCACTGCCCCTGGGCACAGGTGAGCCCAGCAGTCCCTGAGAGGACAGGGCTGCTCAGGGCTGACCCACGAGGAGGCCCTACCTTGTTTGAAAGTGCTGCTCCAGGTCACAGCGCTGCACCACCTCGGCGCAGTACTCCGAGAACGGGCAGGTCACCATCAGCTTGTTGAGGAGCTTGTTGACCAGGATGCTGGACTTCTTGCAATGCTGCAGCACCACAAGCTTGCGGTCCACGGGGCAGAAGTCCTTCTCCACCAGGAAGTTGGTGAGGCACAGGGTGCAGTAGGTGTGTCCACACGGAGTGTCCAGAGGGTCCAGCAGAGCTTGTAGGCAGATGTGGCATATGAGGTCATCGTCCACATCTTCTGTGTAGGCGTAGAAGTGGTTTTCCTCAGGGGAGTGGGCTTGGCCACACACCACACACAGGGGTGCGGGGCTGGGATCAGGGTGACAGGTGGGGTCTGGCTGGCTCATGGTCGACTGGGGAGACGGTCTGGCATGAACCTGTCCCAGGAAAACAAGATGTCCTCAGGAGAAAAATCAAGATCCTCCAGGAGCCATCCAAAGACCTAAAAGAAGGACAAGAGAGCTCATCTTAGTTTTCAGGGGGGCCTGAAGACTCCACTCACAAAAGACTTGAAGACTCCGCCACCAGTGGGCAGGGCCCCGCGCTGTGGTTCAGCAGGCCACTCTGGTGCCCAACATGACCTTGGACAAGGGACCTTGCCTCCTTATGCCTCAGTTTATCATCTGTCCTCGTGGTAATCATGTTTACCTCTAGCAGCCTCATGGTAGGGTGGCGGAAACCATTGGGCACTATCTGGGAAACGCCAAGAGGAACTCAAAGGAAATATGCCCTAAGAAATATAAATTGTTAGTATAATTCAATTAGATTTATAAAATGCTCTGTCGGGGGGCACCCGGGTGGCTCGGTTGGTGAAGCCTCTGCCTTTAGCTCAGGTCATGGTCCTGGGGAGCCCCCTGCCCAGCTGGTCTTCTGCTGCTCCCCCTGCTTGTGCTCTCTCTCCCTCTCTCTCTCTCTCTCTCTCTCTCTGTCAAATAAATAAATAAATAAATAAATAAATAAATAAATAATAATAAAATCTTTATAAAATAATAAAATGCTCTGTCATATAAGGACAAGAAGAACAGTTAACACTCCAATGGCTTTCTCTTATTTTTCTTCCCAACTTTCTCTACAACTCCAAAAATATAGGGCAGCAGAGCCTTCAGCTCGACCATCTGGGAAGAAATGGGAACAGCTGAGTCTGTTGTATTTTTCCTGCACTGAGAGCACATTTTCTTCCCTCTGCACTTGATCCGCTCGGCCGGTCACTTAGTGGTTATGGGGCTCTGGGGCTGCACTGCCTGGGTTCGAATCCCACCACTGCGATGGGCCAGTGATTTAATTGGTATCTGGAAAAGGAGGGTAACAATAGCCTGCCTCCTAGGGTTGCCATGAGGATGAAATGAGATATGAGATGGAAAGTTCTTCCAGTTGTACCTGGAACACAGGAAGTGCTCGGCCAAGGTGAGCCACTATTTTTACATGTATTTGTTGAGTTCATTCTGTCTCCCATCTTACGCAACTGACCTGGAAACTGAAAGCTATAATTCTTATAAGGGCTCTTTTTGCTTTTTGATAGCACCCTTTTATTTCATTATATATCTATTTCAACCCAGTAGAGTACTATCACGCCATGTATTTTTCCCCCTGGAATGGGAGTCCAAATAGTGGAGATTCTCACATTCCTGATTAATACCTAGAAGCTTCTGAGAATCATTCAATACCTATTATTTGAGCACCAACCCTGAGCTAGGTAGTGAGCGAGGCGTGGAGGAGACCTTGAGGAGAGCTCTAGAGGACATGCCCTTGTTCTCCCGGAGGCCCTGTCCTGGGAGGCAGGCATGAGCACCAGCAACTGGAAGCCCACGTGACCAGAGCAAACAGAAGTGTGCACTAGGCTACTCTGGGTCAACGCTCATGAGGATGAAGAATCTCACACCCTCTGTCACCCACCGCCCTCTCGAGGTTCTTTTATTTTGGAAAACAAGCAGACTCGAGGCCTTCCACGAGAACAGACAGACACATGAAGAAGCCAACAGGAAGCCCGCTGCATTTGGAAAGGGCACAGCATTCCTAAACCGTGGTGCATCTTTTTTCTTTACCAAATTAAGTCCGAGATTGTTTGTGGGAGCATTGCCTTATCTTAAAAAAAAAAATACATTGACTTCAAGCTCTTGTTGGGTCAGCTTCGTGTTTACATTTCTGCGCTGCGCTAATATGCCTGAAAGAACACTCTGGTCAGGAGGTTGAAGTAGAATGCCCCGAATGTGAAAACATTTAGAAATCACAGAATTTTATTTAGCATCAAAAGAGACCACAGAAAGCAAAGGTAGAGAGCGCAGAGGGAGGGGGTCAAGTTGTTTCTGGTCTAATGTCATGGAAACACACACAGCTGCTATTTGTCCTCAAGGCTGATAGAAGGTACTGGAACCACACAGGAAATGCTTTAAGTGGCATGAAAAACAGTCAAAAAGTAAACATGAAAACGGAAATGGGCCACCCAAAAGATTATCATCCATGATAGGGGAAAAAAGTTCACATATTTTGAACTTTGACAAGAGTTTTGTCAAACAGCCCCACGTGCTTGGGTCCTGTCCATTCTTTCTCGTTGTGCTGTCCTGGAAAGCTACAGGGAATGCAGTTGTGGCTCTGGTCGTGCTGCTGAAAAAGCCAACTTCACATCTCTGGTCCATGCCCTTACGCGTGCAGTGGTGGGGCCGGGCCAGATTTTTGGCGTTTCAGACTGTGCGCTGGAAAGTGACAGGTGCCTCAGAGTCTTCCAGGGGAGGGAAGATGGGAAGGCAGTTTGGGTGGAGCTACTTGCCTACTTCTCCCCACCCGGTCCTAGCTCCATTTTTATGTCTCCGACACCAGTTTCCTTACAATATTCTGTTGGAAGAACCCTAGCTTCAAAAAAAGTAAGGAAAAAAGCAAGCCACCAGAGTGATCCCACAACATTCCTTTCAGAAACAGAGTACTAGGACTCTGTGCTAATACAGCAGAGTTTTGCTTTGTTGTGAGTGGTTGGCTTTTGGAAAAAAAATTTTTTTCTTTACTTTCTAATAGTTTTTGAGCATGTACCTTGGACAGGGCACTGTCCTTGGACAGGGGGCCTTATATAGACTATGTTATTTAATCCACTCAAATCCCCAGGGTTGTTGGGTTTTGTTTGTTTTCATTTGACAGATGAAGAAGCTGAGATGTGACATGGAAGCCACTTGCTAGTTAGGTCAAAAGGAAACAAAGCAAGAAGTGCTACCAACTCCAGTTTCTGTTCCTAACCATTTTGCTATGTTGTGTCCCAGCATCTTTCCTGATCATGACTGGTCGGAATTTAACCAACCGAATAGAAGAGCCCCAGGAAATTAGGTTTAAAATCTCTTGAGGCCCATTGCTAATAGGTTTGTTCAAGGCTCTGATTAAGAATATTCCTTGACTTTACTGACTGCAGAAATGCCTAAGACTGAATGAATGGAAAGGGCAAGCAAAAATGGTGGGTTCTAGCTCTAACCCCAATGCTTTTTTCTTTCCTTTTCTTGGTTTACAAAGAGAAATTTGAATTCCCTGGCACTTGTCCATTGAGTACACCAGATTCTTAACATAATATTAATGTAAACAGTCATGTATATATTTTCCAACTTTGCTTCAGACTAAATAAAAACTACACGAATAGACACAGATTATGAGATAATTGGCCAAAAAAAAAAAAAAAGCGGTTTGGGCTCTAAAGAAAGAACTAGGTTGCCTTTAAAAATTATGATTGATATTATTTGAGGTTTCTTATTTCTAGTTTACATTTCATCAACGTGTATGATGTATCATGTTTTTAAGACATATGTGTGCCTTGCTAAACAGATAAGAAATTATCCAAAATCATTGTGGCTTAAAAGGTAAACTCTTGTTTTCTTCCAAAAGTAAGTGAGAAGGCCCATCAGCTTTGAGCTCGTTCATGTCACGTAGCTTCCCAACCCTCAGCAATTCTGGTCCTGGTTGAGGCAGGGAGACAATCTGGCTTTTTTTTTTTTTTTTTAGTTTGGAGAAAGAGAAGGGAAGTGAATTCCATCCTTGGGTGTGTGTCTGGAGCAGGGGGTTGAATACGCTTCCTTGGTAGAACCCAATTCTATTGTAGCTTTGGAATGATCTTCTCTGTGTCTCCTGTGATTTGGGGCTGCAATAGAAGCCCAAGGTGACTTTTAGAGATATGTGTAGTTTGCCAATGTCATGGTGAGAAGTGACAGGAGAAATAAAAGTCTTCATCTATGTCCCTCATCTCTGCTCCCTTTCCTGCTAACTTTATGATCACACCTAAAATGTGTACAGAGGATTTTTTTTTTTTAAACTAACTTTCAAATTCTAAACTTCAGCAGCTGACAGCAAAGACACATTCCAGAGCAAATGTGAACCAGCGCTGTGACCGAAAGGGTCATTAGAGGTCCTATGGTTTACTGTCATCTGAACTAAAAATCCAGTAGTCTTAAGAATAGCCGTTGGGATTCAACCTGTTTGGAAGTGGGAATATTTCTGCATGGCATAACCTATTAGAACAATGGGGTCCCTGGTGGACTAGTGTCCTGCTAATTCTCCTTTAAATGCACGCTGGCTTTATAGAAAATGGTTCCTGGAGATAAACCATCTAGTGCACTGGAAAGATGAGTAAACATACCATTTGGCAGGCTGCACTGACGTTTCCACAGTTTCCTCCTACTGAAAGGACAAAGACTTGACTCCATAGCTTCTCTTGAATTGCTACATGAGTCACAGTTTTACAACAACAGTAATGGGACCTCACATTATTAAAAAGAATTCATCCTCATAGTCAAGTTGGCAGTGTGTCCCGCACTGGGACTTTGACCTTGACAAAGATGAAATGTTGAGCCCATTGAGCTCTTTGTGTTGAAAGGGAACTTGAGAGAAGGTTCCTAAATGAAACAGCCCTTTACTACCTTCTAAAATAGATCATCCTGCTTTGGAGAGCTCTAACTACTAGAAGGGACAGTCTGTATATAGTATAAAAATTTGCCTCTCTAGAACTCATCCCTCCCCACTCCTACCCCCACCCCCAGGCATGGGTGCCAGTATCATCCTAGGAGCTATTTAGAATATGTCACATTCAAAAAAAATATATGTCGAATTCCTTAAGTCCTTTAATTGTTGGAAGATGCCGCATTTCCCCCCACCCCCCAGGTCCAGCAGCCTTATGCTATCTGGCATTCCTTTCAGTTTCCATATACTCTGTGATGCTGACCATTCTCCTCTGCAAACTCCCCAATTATTTAGTGTCCCTCCTACAACATATGTGTAGAATGAACCCCCAAACTCTAGGACAGAGTGAAATGGAGTAACTGCACGCATGCCTAAGGCAGTGGCAGGCCACTGATGTCATTGCAATCCTGGCCTGCTCCAAGCCAGATACTGCCCTGAAGCCTGGGGAAAGCTACTAGCAATTCCTGAGCACAGAGGGGAAGAAAAAAGATAAAGGGTAATAATGTAGAAAAGTAATGG